CAGATGGGAAAACTGAGGTCTGGAAAACAAAGAGTGACTCTTGGCGAGAGATGGGTCTACATGGAGAACCTATCATTTGTGTAGTCTGTCTCAAGAGCATTTGTCCTCTATTCGCCTTTTTTGTTTTCCTGATTATAAAAATGTTACATGCTTATTTTGAAACACCTAAACATCTCAGAAATAAAACAAAGTGCAAAAGACCCTGGTAACCCTCCACAGGTAACCATGAGCAACAGGATGGCGCCTAGTTCTCCAGACTGTGTTGTCTACGCATATGGAAATATATTTTTAATAGGATGATTATTCTCCTATTTTTTAAAAAATTTTTTTTCAACGTTTATTTATTTTTGGGACAGAGAGAGAGCATGAACGGGGGAGGGGCAGAGAGAGAGGGAGACACAGAATCTGAAACAGGCTCCAGGCTCTGAGCCATCAGCCCAGAGCCCGACGCGGGGCTTGAACCCACGGACCGCGAGATCATGACCTGGCTGAAGTCGGATGCTTAACCGACTGCGCCACCCAGGCACCCCTCTCCTATTTTTAATATTCACATATATTTACTCTTCCAGATGAAGTTTAAAATAAATATATCCAGTTCTCCTTAACAGCCCCCCCCAAATTTGGCAAAATGGCATTAAATGTGTACATCAATGAGGAGACTTACTGTTTTTCCAACATGGAGTCTTTCCATCAATAAACGTGGTATTCCCTCCAGTTTTTCAAGCCTTTATTTTGACATCTTTATTAGTAAAGGTTTATATTTTTCTTCCTGTATGCCTTAACTGTACCTTATTAAGTTTATCCCAATGCATTTTATCATTGGTATTGCTACTAAGAATGAGATCCTTTCCTTTCTCTCAATTATGTTTTCTATTAATTGTGGCTGCAGTATCAGAGGAAACTCTTCGTCTTTACAGTTGTGTTTTTTAGTTTTTTTCATGTTTATTTTTGAGAGAGAGACTGCACGTGAGTGGGGGAGGGGCGAAGAGAGAGGGAGACAGAATCCGAAGCAGGCTCCAGGCTCTGAGCTGTCAGCACAGAGCCCCATGCAGGGCTCCAACTCAAGAACCATGAGATCATGACATGAGCCGAAGTCAGACACTTGGCTGACTGAGCCACCCAGGCACCCTGCATCTTTACAGTTTTAAAATGAACTCTGTTGGGGGCACCTGGGTGGCTCAGTGGGTTGAGCGCCTAACTCTTGCTCTCAGTTCAGGTCATGATCTCACTGTTGGTGAGACTGAGCCCCGTGTCAGCCTCCAAGCTGACAGTCTCAGAGCCTGCTTGGGATTCTCTCTCTCTGCCCCTCCTCTGCTCATGCTCTCTCTGTCAAGATAAATAAAATAAATTAAAAAAAATAAAATAAAATAAACTCCCTTGGACTATTTTAGGTAAATGCACTATAAATTGTGATAATTTGCCCTTCCTTACCAATATTTATATTTTTTATTTGTTTTTCTTGTCTTACTGCATTTGCTGGAACCTCTACAACAACGCTGAAGAGGGCCAGGGTCTTGTTCTTGACTTCATGAGAAGCCTTCATCTTGGCCTCTTCTTTAAAAGCCCCACCCTCCCTCAGGACTCAAATGCCCTCCTTTTTCTCCCCCATCCCTGTCAAATATCCTTCGTAATAGAGGCTTTTCCTTAGGTTTTTGACAGCAGGGGGTGAGTTAAACTACTGTAGTTCCTTTTCCTGGATGATGTGCCTTCCAAGCCTCTGCAAAGGACTTGCCGCTTCTATAACTAAAATGCAGAATTCTGCAAAGGCAGAGCAGCTGCTAAGAGACAAGAAACTTGCCTCAGCATCCACAGACACGCATCCTCTCCTTCAGTCCTCAGTGCACACTCCGCAAGGTGGATTTTTTAGTGCACTCTCATTGTTCAAAGGAAGGTCTGTCTCCAAGTAACTTGTCCCAGGTCACACAGCTAAGTGGCAGAGAGAATTCGAAGCCAGATCACAAGGGAAATCCTACAACCTCACAGACCTGAGCGTTGGATGTGATTACAGGGATCAAGGGGAAGTTTGGACACAAGGGGAAGGCCGATGTTCAGGGGAGAAAGTCGAACGGGGATGGGACATCCTTCCCTTCCCTGTAGGCCTGTGCTGAGCAAGCAGTATATAGAATGGGGCTTTGCTGACAGGGTGGCCGGAGAGGAGTGTCAAGAATCTTGGGGCGCCTGGGTGGCGCAGTCGGTTAAGCGTCCAACTTCAGCCAGGTCACGATCTCGCGGTCCGTGAGTTCGAGCCCCGCGTCGGGCTCTGGGCTGATGGCTCCGAGCCTGGAGCCTGTTTCCGATTCTGTGTCTCCCTCTCTCTCTGCCCCTCGCCCGTTCATGCTCTGTCTCTCTCTGTCCCAAAAATAAAATAAAAAACGTTGAAAAAAAATTAAAAAAAAAAAAAAAGAACCAGCCCGTGGCGTTCTTCCTAGAACCTTCAAATCCTCACGTGGGCATTGGTATAAGGGAGGGGCCCTGTCCTGGGAACAAAGACTGGCTATGAGTCCCAGCTCTATCACTCACCTGCTGTGTGACCTTGGGAAAGTTGCTCCCCTCTCTGGTCCTGGTTGAACATCTATAACATACCCAACCACCTTGACTGGAAAGAGGAAGAAAAAGGTTTTGCACAAAGTGGTCCATTTGACTTTCTAATTTATTTTTATTTTTGTAAGTTCATTTATTTTGAGAGACAGAGAGAAACTCAGCATGAGTTGAGGAGGGGCAGAGAGAAAGGGAGAGAGAGAGAAAATCCCAAGCAGGCTCCACACTGTCAGTGCAGAGCCCGATGCGGGGCTCGAGCCCCCAGATCATGAGATCATGACCTGAGCCGAAATCAGGAGTCAGATGCTCAACCTACTGAGCCACCCAGGCGCCCCTAAAGTGTTCCATTTGATTTTCAATTAAAC